GACAGATCTTTCTGCAAGGTTTCACTGATGTGACTCTGCGCCTCGTAGTGCTGGACCCGGTCGGCCATGGTGGCCTGCTGCAGTAGCTGTTTGTTGAAGCTGTAGTTTTGGCTCTTCAAGATGTCGCACTCGTTCTCTTTAGAATGCAACTGAGTGGTAATATAAAGAGAGAATGATCAAGAATAGAATCAGTGCTGCAAGGTTTTGGTCACAAACTTTTCAATGAAGGCTTTCAATTATCGGTTCTAAAAAAACCCGTTACAAGAAGAGAATTTTTAACATTATAAATTCTATCAAAGTGGCCATTAATCATGTAAATGAAAATACTTGCTTATGGAAAAAAACAAGGCACTTCTTAATATGGTTAATGTTGTTGTTTTTTTCCTAATGTAGAATTCACTTGAAGATTTATTATTGAAAGATAATAACAAAATCTTTACGAAGGTTAACTGGGATAAAGTCCCTTATGAGTTGGAAGTCATCACCTTTATTTCTGGTACTTCCTCAAAGAAATAGGCACGTCAATGTTGTCATGGGGGAGGCATCTTTGACAGTAATTGGCCCTGGAACTTCATCAACTGAAAATCGACCCTTGGCAGTTATCACAGAAATTAACAACTTCCGACGTTTCAGAAATTAAATAGTCTTGATATCTTTTTCCTGAGGACGTTTTTTACAAGTAAACTTCGTCTACTTGAAGACTAGAGAGTAAAAAAACACAGGAACGTGTGTGGGTTTTTGTCAGTTTTTTTTAAGTGAAGTCACACCTGTTGTTTCAAGTCTTTCAGTTCGTCTTCTTGCTGTCCCAGTCGGCTGGCTAGCTCCTGACCAACATGCTGCTCTGACTGCAGGCTTGACAACATCTCCATGTTGTCGTTGGTCTGCATGGTACCAAATGTTTCATAGCATGAACTCTTTTGTAACGAGGATTTTTAAAGCTCGGTCTATCGGCTTTGTGGAGGAACTGTAGAGGGGGTTGAACAGTCTACTTAGGAGCAATGTTGCAGTCGAGACCACTTAAGACATTCACAAGTCCACACGAGACCAACACAAGATCTCCAGTCTGGATTCAAGTCACAAGCTATTCAAATGAACTGCAACAGAAGCACTCCTTTGTCGTTGTTCACACTGTTACTTGTGCACTGCATGGTCTTTTGTCTGGTCTTGTGACGTCTCGACTACAACACTGCTTAGGAGTCCGGTAAGGGTAAATTGGTGGGTCATGTTCTCAATATGAACTGCATGAAGCACCTATAGCAGTGTGCCAATTTTTAATTCGATAGAATGTGCACAAAAGTCTGACATGCCAGTGAGATCAACACACCTGAGCGTGGACTCACAGCTAAGTATGACAAGTTATGGGTTGACAGAATGCTTTCCTTTCTTTCTTTATATCTTCACCACTGACGTGATAGCAATGCACGGTATTCACAATATTGACTTATGAAAGCTCAGTCTCCATGTAGTCAAGTATTCACTAGGATTTCAAGGTGAGAATTCAAGTGATGTCACAGCTAACCAGACCGAAAACAGGGTGCATAAAGAATCTTTAGCAAATATTGGATTTATCTTAATATACAACTTCTCCTCGAGAACCACAAGCAATTTCGAACGTCGCCGACGGCAACCAAATAAAAACTCTGGAGAATTTGACATCACATTGGACAAATAGATACTTGTGAAGCAGAAGAGGGAACTACATTGAGCTTGGAGGTCACTACAAAAGCTCAAAGGTTACAACATTTATGCCTGAATCTAAAGACAGGAGTGAAAGCAATATCTGGACAAAAAGAAACCCCAAGGACCTGGGAAATCCTCTCACCATCTTGACGAACGCCGACTGCAGCTCTTCCAGCTGCACCTTGAGCTCCTTGTTCTGGGCCATGGCCCGGCTGATGGTGACCTTGTCACCCTGGGCGCTCTCCAGGAGCGAGGCCCGGTCGCTGGCCTCCTCCTGTAGGCGGGCCAGCTGTCGCTCCAGCTCCTCGACGTGCTCCACCTTCTCCTGGTAGAGGCGGCTGAGCTGGGTGTTATCGCTCACCTGATTCAGGGAGGAGGGGAGGGGGAGGGACTTAGCAAGGAGCTGCGATAATTGAAGAGGGGGTGCTCAACACACAACGTACGTCAACATGGCATGTTTGCTCACCAGTAGCTGGTAAGGCTGTGGTTGCCAGCTATCACAATACAAAGTGATAAATACTGTACTACCAAACACTACATGAAAATATGATCTATTTAAAATCTCACGGGACATATGTACATTTCGAGGTAAAATCTGACACCAAGCCAGGGTGACACTTCTGCCAACTTTGGCCACCTGTATGAACAAGGTCTGTTGTCTCTTATTCCTAATCCCACCGGCATTTATCTAGGAACCTTCCTCAATTCTGCTAAATCCTCCACCGTGCAGTAAACCTGAGAGCACATTTCCTTGTACCGGGAGGGCATCAAGACCCACATAAGTTAACAGTCCCACGACATCTGGAAATTTCTGGTAGATTTTGTGGGATCTGGGAGGGTTAGGGTCAAGGTAGCCGGTAACCAATGAGACTAACCTGTAATTGGTACTGGCCGTGAACCGACTGCTTCTCTGCTTCAAGCTGAGCAATCCTCTGCTGCAACTGCTCAACTTCTTGTCGGTTGACGAGATCTCCTCGCTCCGGATCTGCAGCTGTAAAAACGTTTACAAAGAAATTTTTCTATCCAGTGCCTAGACTACATGTATAAACTGCCCATAATGTGCTTTGAGACTACAAGATGAAAGCTATTTCTTCCCAAGAAAAGCACCGATGCATTGGTAAAAAATTGGTCATACCAGATTATCGAAAAATAGCCAACCAATTCTACAGCGACCTCCCGTCGTACTACCCTACCCATCCAGACTTTGGGGCTTCCATCATGCTTTGGACAAGTTTATACACTGACCACCCTACCTTTGGCATTTTCCATTTCCGTGATTTGTTTCTGCAGTTCGGCTTGCTTTCCTAGAAGTGCTTCCTTCTCTTGCGCTTGAGTTTGTAGCTAAAAAAAAATCAACCACAAAAGGCCTCAAAATCAACAGCGGTTGGCCCCCGATCCTCCTATTTCAAAATGATTTTTTACATACCAAATGTTACTTCAATACTCAGAGCTCCGTATACTCACAGGAACTTTTACCAACTTTAAGTCTGCGCCAAAGTTCTGACCACAGTAATTGATGTTACAATAGCAATTTAAATTTATAGTCAATACCGTCAGGAGCTACTGCACAGGGATATTTTTGAAATGCCGGACGGCAGGAAACATATCTGTCCTTCTCTATTGGTTGTGTCACGTACGCCGTCACATAAGCTCAAACTGAAATAAACAATACTGCGCCGGCCATGTGGGACTGGTGTGTCTGCTGCCACCAAGTGTCTCCAAGTCAGACACTCTACAACTTTACATGACTTTGAATCTGTCATACTCAAACGGCATTTTTATAATTCTCCTTGGTAAAAACTCCAGTGCCTGTCCCTTCTGTAAAACCTTTAATCTGGACGCTGATTCGCCAGACTTGTCTTACCTGTTGGACCAATTCCTGAGCTTGTTTTTGATAGTGCTGAGTGTGCTGCTGGAACTGTTCGGCCAGTTGCTCCCTCTCTGCCGTCAGTTGCTGGAAGGACTGATTGTACTGCCAAAGAAAAAGGTCCTATCGTTTTGCTCAACACAGACAAAAGTTTGTAGTGACGTGTAAACATAAAGAAAAGGGTTCAATTTTTGGCTGAAAAAAGCAATCAATGGATCTTACAAGTGCTCCCAAAACAAGTTCACCTTTGATTGAAATTTGATTGAAACAGAGTCTCAAAGATGCGCGAAGTTCATGCTTTGACATACATTTGCATACCAATGTGGGACATCCAAAATGGCTTATGGGTGTCCAGAAGGTTACCAACCACACCTTACGTTAAGACTTTGGTTCTTTGTAGGATTTCACGCATGCTGAAGATGATCTGATACTAATATGTTTTTTTTTAAACCCATGACTTGTATTTGCGACACCAACCTGGGCAAGTTTACTCTCCAGGTCGGCCTTCTCTTCCTGGACCCTCAGCAGAGCATCGTGGGTATCCTGCTGACTGCTGCTCTGATTGGCTAGCTGGTGGGCCCGCAGCTCGGCTGAGCTCAGGCGGTCCTTCAAATCTTGGACCAGTTGCTCCAGCTGGGATGTTTCTGAAACCTGGGATTTTCACCAGGCATGACATTAGCCCTAGCACTCTTTGTAAGAAACCTTCCTAATTCCTTCAAAATGTACCACTCTGTGAGAACCCAATGCCCATTCTTTGCAGTGAAACTATCATGTGGAAGACAGACCCACGTACAGAAACAGTGGCTGGGCTCAACCTTTCTCAATCTTTACAAAATCTCCTGATGGACTTCAAAACATCTAGGAGGTTTAAGATTAATATCAGTGTGTTTAGAATTTGAGACTTAAAACCTGTTGAAGACCTGAACGTTAAGAGTCACTATGAACGTTAAACACATAAACAGCAAACTGGTGGCATTAACTTATCAGGGTTCCTGCACCTAATAGACGATTTATTTCCATGACTTTTCTATGCCCAAATTATGAAAATCCATGACCCAATAATGCTATTCTTGGACTTTTCAGACTGTTATAGTCTAGATCTAGAATAAAATCATTCATTTCGCGTACTTATTTCTGGTAATAAAAATCACACAGAGCGTTTGAAAAATTCCATGACTTTAGTCATTTTTACAAAATTCAATTCATTTTTCCAGGCCTGGAAATTGAAGACGAATTTCCACGACTTTTTCATGACTTTCCCAGACCGCAGGAACCCTGCTTATGAACAGGCAGACAGGATGACACAAAGGCTTGAATTGAACTTTGAACTCCAAGATGGGCGGACAAACTGACAGTCACTTCGGCTTTCAGAGAATGACAAAAACCCTTGAAAACAACCAACTAAATGGACAGAAGGGGGATACCTTTGTCTTGAGCTGGCTGCTGGTTTCTGAATTTCGTTGTGACAACTCCTCGTTTGCTTTCCTGTATTAAACATGGTTCAGAGTGACATCAAAGATAAGTTTCACGCCGCTTTCCTCCGGAAAGAACTTCAGAATGAATTGAGCTGTGGGTTGTTCTGAATTATTCACATCACAAAGACAGAGTTTAGATATTTAATTCCAGATAAAGAATCCTTAAGATGAAGATCAGAAGTTGAAGGCAAACGGGTGACTTGAATTTGGGAAATTTTGACCAAATATGGAGACATATGAAATCAAACAACTTTCTAACCCTAACCTTCCCTAACCACACAGAACTGAACACTGGTAAAGTGTGTGAATTTGTGGCACTGGGTACTGTACCCCTAAACTGCTTGTGCTTTAACATGGGTTCAGGCATACCCAAAAATAAACAGAGTCCAACAGTTTTTGTGCACAGTTTACTGTATGGTGTTGGAATTTGTGTGAATGGGTACGGTTCCTAGTAAGTCACTCTGGGGAGTTAGGGTTAAATTGTGAAACAGACAAGGAGGAGACAGGAAACGAAACTTACTGTAATTTATAGACATCCAATTTGAGGGAATCCTTCTCCTTATCGAGGCCTGCACTTGTCTGCCAGACACAGGAATTTATTGAATTAACAAACAAATAATTAAAAACAAATTCTGACAGTTTACCAATTTTCAACTTCGAGACAAAATCAGATTTCTAGATCAAATTATTGATATGCGGACATCCCAAAAAGTTACCTTGTTTGTTCTTTGCAAACAACTGACAATGAAAACTGAAACAATGAACTCCTTCCCCACAAGTTTTTGCACTCAAAGCAAAACACCGAAACACCTTTTCTTTAGTCATGACTGTCCAAATTGAAGCATAAAAAAAGTTGTCTGAAAGGCAGTTCATAGGCTGTAGCTTGTCAATATTCATGAACAAATTTGACATCATTTAAGAAACTGTGATAACGGGAGATGACAATTTGCTGTGAGGAGGGGAGAGTTTCCTGTGAGGAGGGGGCCAGTTTGCTGTGAGGAGGGGACAGTTTGCTGTGAGGTGGGGGAACAGTTTGCTATGAAGAGGGGACAACTTGCTCTGAAGAGGGGACAGTTTGCTATGAGGAGGAGGCCAGTTTGCTGTGAGGAGGGGGTCAGTTTGCTGTGAGGAGGGGACAAT